CGCCACAAGCTGAGAACCGCTTCCTGCTCATTTCAAACTTAGCTCCTCAACTCAGACTTTTGCTAGGAATAACCACAGCAGAGGCAGAAACACAACGAACACACTGTGCACTGCAGGACAACCCAAACAAACGCCTTCAATGTCAAGGGGGAAGGGCGGCCGCTTCCTGATCTGGTTCCCATGTGAGCAGAGCCTGCACACGCAGTTGTCCAGAAACTGAAGTTAACCTGTTGAGCATTCCCAAGGAGAAAGCCGCAATCAGCCACAGTGTGGCTGTTTTCCTGCTGGAGTATCCTTCCCGCTTTCCCCTCCGCAGGGCACGGCAGGGTATCTGTTTGCTGATCGTTTCCCCAGGATGAGCAAGAAACCATAATCCCGACGCCCTGGAACTCACTCGGAGCAGAAACGGCCCTCAGCAAGGGAGAACAAAGCAGCAAGGTCCCGGACGGGCTGCAGGGGCGGGCAGGGAGCCTTGGCCTCCTTACCTTGACCTGGGACCTGCACCTGCCACCGCGGGCTGATAAGGGCCGCTCGCACCGCCCACCTCCGAGCCAGCCAATCCACAAGACAGCCCCGCCCTGACAGCCACCCCCCACACACCCCGCAATTCCACTAATTAGACGTTCGCCTCCCACCCGACACTTACACAAGACACAGACCAGTCCCAGCACAGCCTGCGATTCAAATGGGAACAAAGGCGGGCGTAGCCGTGGCACTTTTCCCTAATTCACTAAAGTGAGGACCTCTTTGCACGGGGCCTAACCTCTACCGAAGCCGCGTTCCAAAGACTTAAACACTTAGGTGAAGACCTTTCCAGCTAGAACTGGGAAGAAAAAAACAACTGCTGAAAAACAGTCTGGTTTCTACCGCACAGCTCCTGGGTCACCTGGAAGCAAAGTGCAGAACCAGGAGGGAGGGCAGAGGAGGAATAAGCCACCCAGCTGGTTTCTAGTGAACAATCTGCACAATTACTAATTAGGAGTGTGGGAAGCGGGAAAAGGGACGGGGACGGACAGGCACACTGACCATTCACAGCAAATCAGAAGAACAGTTATCTGAAAGAGCAGGGGGAAAAAGGCCAGAATAAGTTTCCTGGGTTCACCACCAGCTCTGAGGAGGAACACTCCCACAACACGCCAGTGGCTGACTGGTCACCAGGACAGAGCCCAGCAACAGAACCACTCCACCACTGTCTCCAGCACCACGACTGCAAGCATGACTTCACTGTGAGCGGTTACTTAGCTGGATGGAGCGGTGGACCATTTGAAGGCCTATCTCAAACAGAACCATAAAGATTTTTCCCAAACAAGCAGGAAGCATCTAGCAGAATCCATTTGCAATTCTAAGTATTAAAACTTGCACTCCAGTTTTAGATGCTCAGTGGAACTTGACTGAATAGAACCCATGAAATATACATAGAAAAACGTGGCACCACGGGGGGGGGGGGGGCTCAGGCGGCGGGGGAGGGTTTCCTGGTACAAGCTACCTTTCAGTTTTGGTTTGAGCTAAGTCATCTGTATCCATTTAGAATCTTCCTCAAGCCTACAGGGTAGGTCTGTGGGAGGCTTTTTTTTTTTTTTTTTTTTTTTTTTTTTTTTTTTTTTTTTTTTTTTTTTTTTTAAGTTGCTGGCAATGACCTACTGCCTGGGAAGAAGAAATAAAAACTCTGACCCTAAACAACCCCAGCACAAGTAAATTATACAAGTCTTTCAGTATGACCTGCCCACAGATTTTAAATTTTAAAATGTTTAGCTAATTATGGTTTCTGTCTCATTCTGGTTTTCACTAGGATATGTTCCAGTTTTAGGTGAGGAGGTCTAACAGCCCAATACTATGGAATAGCATTTTATTTTCTTAAAAAAAAAACAACAAACCTTTTTGTCTAGCAGCTAAGCCTGCTTTCCAGCTAAGCACAATTTAAAGTTTAACTGTAGTAATCATTTGAAGTCTTCTTAAAATAAGCAAACAAGGAACACAAGTAATTTGTTGATTAAACAGTATAAAGAAATCGTTAGGACAATTGTAAACCAAAGCCAGCACATCTACCTCTGCTGAAAGCTTTAAGACCCAAACCCAGGAGCCTGGAAAATAAAAATACAGAAAGAACTCCTAAACACCTGCTCTGTAGACAGAACAAACATGCTGAACAAAGTGAGACAGCAGAGAGACCACCCCACCTCTCCTGTCAGAGGAAAAGAGCCACCCCAAACTCATCTTTTTCCAAAATTCCTCAGTTAAGATTTAGAAATCGAAATCTAATTAAATTAATCTTCTTTTGTGCAAGACAGAACACTTCCCTTTATTAAGAATGTTAACACTTTAAATAACAACAATCATTAAAAATCATAATTCCTCAAAGTAGCTTTCAGTTTGAGAAAAGAAGCAGTATGAAAACACTACAAGGAGGCAAGGGTAAGGAGCGCTACAGAACTCACCAGAATGTTCTGGAGAAGGTTAACTTTCAGCAGCCATGCGCTAATGCTTGGTGTTTGATTTTTAAAAGCAAAAGCCTATTGCAGATTGAACTTTCACTGTCAATTAAAGAGTAAGCTCCCAGGTCCTTAGGACAGTCTCACAGGGACTCAGGAGCATCTCCGCAGCCCCAGTGCTATCTGTTCAAGCTATTTTTAATATAATATCCACTTCCCTTGATGGAAGCCAAACCAGAGGCATTGGTCCGTGCAACCTTTTTTTTTTCCCCCTTAAGGACCCGTCTGGATTTGTCTCCTCCCCTGGACAGGTCAGGCTTTCTCTTCCCAGTCTGCCTGAATAAGCCAGTGGTCCTGTTAAAGTGGCTGCGGGGAGTCCTGGACAAAAAACAGAAGCGTGCAATCCTGTGAGGGAGGACGTGGCTCTGATGTGGAGGACCGGAAGGCAGGAGTACCCCAAACAATGCCTTGGGGAGGAGGTCACCTGATCCCACTTCTGAAACCTACCGGCCTCCCCAACACAGCTGCCCTCACTGGCAGAGCCCGCTGATCTCGCTGATCTCGGACAGAGTCTGCGGCATCACCCAACATTCAAGTGTCCAGACACCGACCTGCCTTTGAGAGTCTGAAGACCCACTTTGGTTCTGGGCGTGAACCCACAATGGCCCACCTCCCTCCCACACACAGCCACACAGTCCTCGATGTGTGCCAGAGTGCAGCATGCCACCTGTAAGCCAGACACCTCCCACTTCAAGGCTGCCTCTAGGGGCGTCACCCCCAGGGGTTTGCTACAGCAGGATTCCAGAATCAACTGCAGAAAAGCCCCTTAGCAGTCTTGGCCCTCAAGGCACAACTCTGGTTCTCCAGGGGTTTCAGAAGACGGCTCTCCTATTTCACTATCTAAGATCCACCAGTTGGCCACTGTTGTCTGCAGGGATTTTCTGAGCCCCTGGAAGCCTGGGGAGTCTTCTCTCCTCCAACTCTCACCCAGCACACAGTCTTGAATTAATGTAACTTGTCTCCTAGTAGGATCTTGGCCCATTAACAGTTATTCTTAGCAACAAAATGATGAAAATGTGAAAATAGTCCAACTTAAAAGAGAAATCAAAGACAATGCACTTAAAAACCTACACCATTAATTTCACAGCCATTACAGGCAAATGTCACATCTATTTCAGGGGTGCTTCCTGGGAATCTAGTGACAGCTTAACCAATGCAGCTCCACCATGTGCAAATGGAAATTGTGCCTCACAGCTCACAAGGTACCCCACCGCCTCAGCAACCACTTTGTGGCCAGGGACAATACTACTGGAGGTCTGGAAAGAGATGACCTGGAAAGAATTGAAAGCGAAGTTGCTTAATATACAAGTATATGCACACAGTGGTCACAGGCATGGAATGGCTCACAGAAGGGTGTCCTTGAATGCAGACTTGAGTGTTAAAAAACAGTATTTTATTGGAGTTTTTTTTTTTTCAGAAAAGTGTTAAAAATATATTGCAAAAAAATATACAAGACAATTACTCATAAATCAATACAACTACAAGTAGATTGTTCTTTTGAACAGGAAGGCCAATTTCCCCTAACCAAAATTATAAATTAGTTATATGGCACTTAAAATATCTCCTTAACTGAGTATCTAGAATGTTAAACACTAAGTCAGACATATTAAGCAGCAAGGTAGAAATATGTACAATAACAAGGTACACAGCCTTTTCTCCTGTTAGTTTACATCTCTGTGTGTACATCCATTATTTTCCTGGCACAGAGTCCTCTCTAATACTAGACACTGTCTGCAAACGTTGGTTGTATAGGTTTTCCAACTCACTATCTTTTCTTTTCCATTATCAACATCTACTGGTATGGCTGGCAGGAAGAGAATTCTGTGATTCTCTGAGGTGGCAAGACAAAGAGACACAAAGTCAGAGATGGAATTAAAATTGCACATCCACTAACCCTGCTGACTAGAGCAGAGTACCTTCAACCATCCTGGCAGCCCCACAAGGGTCTTCACTAGCGAAAAAGGTAGGGAGGAGAAAGAACCTGTGAGGGTAAGGCAGCCGGGCAAAGCTGGCTCTGAAGATGGAGGAAGAGGTGGAAACTCACAGAAGTCTTGGAAAGCTGCAGGAGGCAGAGAAGTGCCCCCTCCCTTCCCCCACCCCGCCCCCACAGAAAGGAATGCAGCCCGCCCACACCCCCACTCACCTAGGTAGGTTTACTTGGACTTCTGACTTCCTGATATTGTAACACAATGTTTTAAGCTGCTAATATTGTGGTACTTTGTTACAGCAGCCATAAGAAACTGATACATCTATTGTCAATACTAACCTTCTTATCCTCTGGCTCAAAACAAGAGAAACATGGTAACTCAGACTATCCTTACCGTCCCAGCTCGGCCAGAATCCATCAGCTTCCTTCTATAAGGGAGCTTTCTTGTGTGCATGCTGCTTTATGGGTGATTTCAGACTCAACTCCAGTGGCTAAGAACTTTGTTGAGGCAGAGGGGAGGGACAGAAGGACTGCTACTCAACAGAGCACCAAGGCCAGGCACAGGGCGTCAACCTAACAGGACAAACATGAAACAGAGCGCCACTGGCAACTGTGTCTTGATCAAATCTAAGAGTTAATCAGTAACATAACCCCACCACCTTTTTTCATGGCTTTAATTATTACAGCCAGTAAGAAATATTCAGCCGTCTCTGTTTAGTAATGTTTTATTTACCCCTAAAGGCTCAAGTCTTCATTAAATGCAGAAGAGTTGAGTTCAATTCAACACATATGGTTGAGCTCACAGCCTGGTGGCTGCCTTTTTCTTAAGTGTCTCCCCCCAGCACAGCCACCCCCAAAGGACTCTAGACATATAATACACATTCACCATTTAGCAACATGAAGATTTCCTATGCCACTACCTATTTTATGAAGTTTTATTTTTGAGTAATTTCCTTCATGCTTTGTTTTGCCAGCACAAATAACTGCTCTGGCTCCCAAACACACTTGTGTATGCTAAACATGGCTAAATCTGGGTGGAGCCCAGAACCTTTGGTTTAATCTGGACAAAATATCTATGTAGTAAAAGGAATGGGGAGAATGGACTGTGGTGTTTCCTGCAGTCCATGTGGTCTTAAGTTAATGCCATCCTATGTCTTAGGGTGTCAACTCTGACACGGTCTTTGCTGATGCTTGTTTTGTGTCTTCTTCCAAAAGAAAGTGGCTATTTTCAGGTAAGTGCTTCAATAATTGGAACACAGGGTAGGTTATGTCTGCTGTTGTTACATCAGCATTTCAGCTCCGGTTGTAATTTATCATACTTGTCTATGGAGCTGATAAGACATTGGAGGAGGGAAGCAGGGGGATGGAGGTGGTGCATGCACAAAGTAACTTGTAATAAGCCTCCTCTGGACACAGGAATTGATGTGAAGATGGCAGACACTTCTCAGTAGCTGGCATGGCGCATCTAGAGGTGCAAATGCTGGAAGCTGAGGGCCAGACAATCCTCAGATTAAACGAATTCAATTTATGTATTTATTTTCTCACAGGCCATACTTTTGATCTTTATCAGACAATCCTCAAAGCCCAAATGTTTCTCAGGAGCGAGACTCCAACAGTACAGAGTAGCCTGGTGGACCCCAGGAGAACCCTCTCATGACATTATCTTAAATGTTTAGAGTTCATAAATACACATAAAAACCACAGGTGGCCCCTCTAACTCCCATCTATCCAGGAAGTCCACAGTGACCCTTCTTTCAATCTAGAGCTGGTCAGTCCTCCACATGAATTCCAGTAGTGCCCTGGTCTAGCAAGGCTCTGCCTAGCCAGAAGTAACCTGGCTTTCATGAGAAGTAGTTTCTGAGAGTACCTGGAAAATATGAGTGGGAATGACCCATAAACCCTGCATCCAGAATAGGTAGCATCCCTCTATAGTCGAAGTTTGCTGCTGGGAAATCCAAGAGTTTCATCAGCTAAGGATCTTGAAGCAGGGCTACCTCAAGGAACAAGATTTAAAAAAAAAAAAAACAAAAAAACCTGCTCCTTGAGCAGATGCCTTCTCTGCAGACAATGTATCTGCACTGTAGAAATACAGTCACTTGACAACAAGGGAGGCTACCTGCAAATCTTCTGTCTTTACTTCCTAGGAGTGTCCACTAGAGTCTCCACATGGGCAGGCAATGGCCTAAGATGTTTGCTACAGTTACCAAGAGTTGTACCAAATAAGTTCTATCATTAGACATTTGCCACTTTATTCAATTTTGGGTGTGTGCTTATACTCAGATTTACAATGTGTACAAGTTGCCTAGAAACCAAAGCCCAGAATTTACAGCCTGGTGCAGGCTAAACTGCAGTCACTAGAAAACAGCAGGCTCCCTACTACAGTATGGGGGAGGGCATTCCCATTCGCCCCATCATTCCTGTTTGATGCTATCTAGTTTTCTAGGGAGTCTGGTGTAACTGGAAAGAAATAAGAACCATTTCCTTCTTCCTTGAGTGTACTTTACTCCTTAGGAAATCCACATTCTTTTTATGTGGTATTGGTGTTGCACATACATGCTCACATGGTAAGTATGTATGGACAGACAGCTGGATGAAAGGTCTGTCATACAGAAGCCCCTCCCACACTGGGCAGCTTTCATCTAGAGTGCTGTAAAGCCTACACATGTCTGAGGTGCTAGACCTACTATGTCCCTGACTCATGGGTACAATGTGTCAATGGAACTGTGGCAGAAAGCTGGTGAGAATCAGCAACTAAAGCCAGTTTGTGAACCCTTAGGAGTTATGAGGTTGCTCTGAAGAGGATGGGATCCAATGCTTTGAGGCATCTGTCCTAGGTCACGGCCGCTCTTAAGCATGGCCTGCACTTCCCTAGAAGAGCAGTGAGCTGGGAACCAATCATTTTCTCATTCCACTCTGGAGAATGGGAATGTTTCTCCCTAGCTCCTTCAGCAATCTTTTGGAAGAAACTGCCCAGAACAGAAGTCATGTCTATTTACAGAACTGGGAGTGAGGTGAATTTACTGTCCAAGGAGGAAACGACAGTTAAGTTCCCTGGGTAACACCTGAACTCACTGAGCATGGTAGTGGTGCCTAAATCTCAGATGGGAAAAGTCTACAGAGTCCTCTGTGGCTGAACACAGTAGCGCATCTGATGACTTTCTAAGTTATTTGAACAGCTTATCCATCATCCATCAATAAACTCAGATCAGCTTTCTGGCTAAACAAAGGATAACTTTAGAAATAACTTTTAGGACTTAAGGTCAAGAACACATAACAGAAAAACCTTCCTCTTTAAAACTACGACAAAGGCATTAATGAAGCAGAAGGTTAGTTTTTCCTGGGACTTTGCAGAACAGTCACTTTAAACCATGCTGACAGTTGCAGTCTTAGGTCCTTTAAGAAAGGTACCACATGGGTTTTCTAATGCTCACAGCCCCGTCTTAGGTCAAAGACAGCATATTTTGTGTGGTGTTCAAATCCTAAGCAACTCACCTGCTTTGATAGGCTTCAAGAGATGGTTAATAACCCACACAGGAAACCCCAATTCAGAATGAACAATATACTGACTCAGTAAGAGCGGGACTGTGAAGGGTACCTCAAGGTCAGCTCAGGGGAGCTCAAGGGAGGCTCAACATAGGTTGGTAGGCTGACAAATTCAAAGGATTCTCAATACCTACAGTTCCTCCAAGGCAACTTTAATCCTCAGAGCTGTGACAGCAACTGTGCCTCCAGCTCTCAGGTGTACAAGGGGATATTTGGAACAAATTACCATTTTCGCTTCCCATTAAAAAAGCCTCCAAACAAATACAACCATTTGGCTAAATGAATGTAAAGCTACACTTGTGTTTTATTTTGAAGAACAAGTAAGTATTTATTTTTATTTTATAGCAAGTAAGTAAGAAAAGTATGAAGGTAACTCTCTTAAGAAGATGCAGGCCCTGAAGGTAACTAAGGTATGCCAAGAGCAGGTGAAACAGTACTCCCTGGAGAAGAGCCCTTGATCGGTCGGTCATCCAACACCAAGTGGTCAGCCCTAAAAATACACACATGCAAGTAACATTATTGGGACTGAGCAGGCTGTATTTATATACATATATGTAACAACAATTAACAATTTAAGATTCTATATAGCAAAGAAAAAGAGGTCATGAATTTCAGACAGCACAATGTGAGGTGCATGCAAAGGTCGGGAGGAAAGAGTGGTGTAATATTTTAATTTCAAAAATAAAGGAATACTTTAAAATTAATATCTTTAAAAGTCATAAAGGCTTTCCTCCTTGACCCACTGTGATTGTCATTTTAGGGGCAGCTGCTCTTAAAGAATTCATTCAAAATTTGGGGTTGTCTTCCTATAAGCAAAGATTAAAAGCAAGTAGGGCCTGCCAGATTAATTCTGTCTTCACAAACTATAATTTCATATTTTAAGTAACTATGTTTTCAGATGTCCCTCTGAGAAATTCATTGGCAAAGGCCTTTAAAAAATCTGTCAGTGGAAGGTGGCCACCATCCTCAAGCTCAGAGTAGCTCACATGCACACAAGATCAAGATGATGTCCCTGTGCTCACAATGCAGAGAGAGGCTCCTAAAGCCATTTTAATTACCCACAGCAAAGACCTGGGGAGATTTAAGCACAAATACCCCCACATCCCTTATTCAGAAGGGCTCAATGTGTTAAAAAGGGTCCTGTTTTGAGAGTCCTCTACTCAAGGCTTATCCTCCAGGGGAGGCCCAGAAAGCAAGTCTGGGGGGAAATAATGATGGGAGATCAGGTAAGGAGTAGGAGAAAATATGTTTTATTTGATTCTGGTTATCAGAGACATTTACTTTACAAAACACAACATCAAATACACATGAATTATAAGGAAAGTTCCTTGTCCTACCCACTTGGACACCTATACTATTAACCACCAGGATGCCACCTTGCCCTGAAGCTTGAGTCACTGCCAGCCCTGGTTAAGGAACACTGCAGGATGCATGTCTAGGGAAGATCTTCCAAACACACCAACAGGCAATGCCCAGTTTGAGAACAGTGAAGTGTGGTCATCGTGAAATGCTCATCTCTTCTACATCTCTAAGCAAAGTGCTGAATGGATAGGACCATCTTCTAGTTCTAGGCAGATTCATAGCAAAGCCAAAGTCTCTCCGCTCTGATCCACCTCTCGGAAGGAACCCCTAGCAAGGCCCATGTGACATCATTCAATAGACTGTGTTCTCTCAGCATGACCAGGTGTCAAAGTATAACCAATTGTCCCACCTCTCCCTATTGGAAACAGGAGGGTATTCACAGCTTGCCAACAGCGCCTTTGTCCAATGGGGCCTCATAAGCCAGCAAGTGTGTTGAGAAAGTTAATTATCCAAACAGAATTTCAAAACTGTTTCACCTTTATTCCATTTTCTGTTTCAGTCTCAGCCCTCCTGATATGCTGCATGCTCTCAAACCCCCTCATCTAACTACACCTAGAGCTTGACTTATGGGAACAGTCCATCCTTTAGCACCTTAATACTATGTGACATACCAGATTTTGTGCATGGAGAATGCAGGGAACTCTTTGTGAATCACTGTTCAAACTACTATCTAAAAACAAAACAAAGGTGAGGTAATGACTACCTAACCTTGATTTTGACCATAAAATATGATCAGGTGTTTCAAATGGAATGGAAACCCAGGTACTTAGAGGCAGAGGCAAGATGACAAGTTCAGTGACAGCCTGAGCTACAAAGTGAGTTCAAGGCATCTTGGGCAATTTAGCAAGAACCTGTCTCAAAATTAAAAAGCAAAAGAAGGATAGAGGCATAGTGTACCACCAAGCCCTGGAGTTCATTCACCAGCACAGGGGTTGGGGAGGTTCCTATCTGTGTCCCAGACAACAGGAGAACAAAGTGTCAGGATGTCAGGACTCCAGAACAATCATCTACTAGAACACATAGCAGGGACGTATCCTCAGCATGTCATTCAGAATGCAACCTTCTCATTTTCAATGGCTTTGCAAAGAGGTGACAGACAGCAAGGCAGGGACAGACACACAAGAATAAAAACTTTAGTCCTCTGGACTAAGCAATCAATGGAATTTGATAGTATGCCTATTTATCACACCCACAGGTTTAGATTTGCATACATAAGATTTGGGGCATTTAACTTCATATACAATGTGACTTTTGCTAGTTCCTGCCTAGAACCATCATGTATTTCCTACTCTACTCCCACGTCTGTAACAGAACCAAAAAGAGTAAACACAAATACCTGTATTGTGACTGACTGGTTGATCATGCTGAAGACTCATTTAAAGCTCACAGTTCAAAATGTCAAAACTTCACATACAGCTTTTTTGGTGAAAGGTGTATATGGAGCAGGATAACCCACTATTAATGACAGTCATAATTAACCTAGCATTTCATCTTCAGAAAGAGGAAACGTGGGGCTCAGTGGTTAAGAAGAGCACTTACTACTCTTGCAGAGGATCCAGGTTCAGTTCCTGGTACTACACTGGGTGGATCACAACCACCTGTAACCCTAGGTCCAGGGGATCTGATGTCCTTATCTGGTCTCCATGGGCACTGTACTCAAGTGCACAAACCCATATACACAGACAAACTTTTAAATTAGTTTTGGACTTTTACCTGCAGTAACACTCTGACACGGGCACATTCAAGTCGCACATCACAGTAAGATATGGGGAGTCAGTTCACTGTGAGTGCAGATGAGGGTCACTGTGTGGGGTGAAGAATGGAGGGACCTGTCCCACACTTGAAAGGACTAAGAAGAACAGCAAAGATATCAAAAGGAGAGGTACAATGAGGGCATGTTAGGCTCGTCCCTCTACTCTCCCAGCCTCTGGACTCTGACCTCCTATAGAGAAATGTCTCAGAACACATAGCAGGAATATGTCATCAGCATATACATAACTAGCACACAAGGCTAAACTACTCTTAGATGCCTGTGCTAGCTGCAGTTGCATTTTTCCTGGCCAGGTCAGGGATGCTCCCACTGTACTGCTTCTAAAGGAAATCTCTGCATAAAGCACATGGGTTCTAGAATTAACTATGCTGTCCCAGCACCTGGCATATACTAGAAAAAGCTTGGTCCTGCTGTGTGTACTGTGTACACCCCTTACTCACAAAACCCTTGGGCTCTCTCAGGGGCAGATCCCAGACAACAGTGAGAAGCAATAGAACCCAGCTGGCTCCACTCACACAAGCAGGGTCCACCTGCTTCTTCCTGAAACACTGAATTACCAATACCCATTATTGCCCCCAAGAGGTCTTGTGAATAGACCCCTAGGCACATTGTGAGTCATGGGAACCAGCTCCTCACTTGAGCCTCTGGCTACTCCAGGCTGAAACCACACTTGCCATCACATGTAGGAACCCACCCCTAGACTTCACTTTGGCTTCATTTCTGGGAGCTTCTGCAGCAGGACTTACTTCTTGGAGAATGTACTGAGTAGCACATGTCCTTGAGAAGTGGAGCTCTCTAATAGGCTGTCTATTGGCAGATGGACCTAAAGCTCCAGGTTGGGGAGGTCTGAAAATGAAGGAACTGGACAGAAACCAGACTGCGGGGTTTTCTTGGACATGCAGGGTAGTGCATACACTTCCAGATTCAAAGTCACCCTGCGGCATTTCTGGGCTCTGCAGTTATTGGATTTCCTGGGACATGTTCCTTCTGATCAGACTCCTTTCTGTGTTATGGTTAATGTAACAGGATGAGAGAAACCACAAAGTACAAAAAACTACAGAGGAGTAAGCCACTTCTCCATGCCCCCCATAAGCACTAGAAAAACATGCCTTTAGCAGAAACACATGCACTCAAAAGATGGGGCGGGACTCTGGGACATCAAAGCCCCTCAGTTGTGGCACGGTCCATACACAGGATGATCCCCCAGATAAGTGGGAGAGTCAAAAGATGGGTTACACGTGATGTTCTCCTTTGAACCAGGACGCAGCTCTGAAGGAACATGAGAGGATGTGATCCGGGCAGTTTAGGAAGCTTGGGTTCAGTGCCCTGCCCTGCAGGAGGTGGAGGTGGTTCTAAGGCACACAGCTGAGTTCTAGCAATCTGTCCTTACAGCCCAATCATCTCAACCAAAGTGACCCACAGTCCAGCAGGTGCCCCTGCCGGGGTACACAGCATTGGGCTCTTGGGTTGTGACTGATGGCAAGGCTACAGTCAGTGAGCGGTCTCCTCCAGAGCTAAACTAACAACTCAGCACTCGGGCACATGTGAGGCAGAGAATGCCTTGCTTGGGGTCTGGGACAGAAGAGGGTTGCTTAGGAAACTGACAGGAGCAGATTCCCGAAGAGCAGAGACACACTCACTTCGTTTCGCTAAGAACTTCAGGTAAATGCCGAGAATCTACTAACTGCCAGAATAGTTAGTGCTCTTTGTCTATACATAGCTCTACTGAACATGCACATCATCATCAGCTTTGTGGAAGTGTGTCTCTACACACCATGAGTCCACACTTCTCCTTGTCCCCATCACACCCAGCCAAGAAGTTAAGAGAGCAAGCTGGTCAGCAAAGCCAGCCAGGCCAGATGATAGAATAAAAACACCACTGCCAAGGCCAAGTGCCGGCTCTGATTTTTTTCAGGATTCAATTATGCTGCTTTGAAGTTTAAGCTATTTGCATTTTAATAAAAGCCAGAAAAGAGGACCCGGCTGTGTAACCGCGTATTTCTTAGAAGTAAGTAGGCAGTATCCATTTCAGTGCAGCCCTTAAAGTAAAACAGCAATAGCCTCACAGTTAATTGCTGAACAGGGCTCGTCTTCCATGATTTCCATACTGTGACTACACACTAAACACATTCATTGCTGGGTGGCTCACAGAGTCCCTTCACATCTTGCAACAGATGTCAGTACAATTCAAATACCAAAGGACGAGGAAACACAGAGGGCTGCCTGGCTCTTCACACTGACATCACTAAGGGAAAGTCTCAGGTAAAGAGGGAATTTGCAAGGCCTGTGTTCCTCCTGGCCCTACAGGATCCAGCTCCCCTCCCCCCAGATTGCTCTGCATCCAGAGACATCCACTG